ATATGCGTTTTCTCGACTCAACCCAAGAGAATTGTTAAATTTTTCTTTTCTAAATATGTTGCTTACCTATGTATGATTATATCATATAGTTATATAGTACTGTACGACCATCATAATTGGAATTTTCAAGAACACTGGTTCAATGTGAAAAATATATTTTTCCCGTCGAGTAGGATGAGAGCGAATAGCTTCCCACTTCAAGGTATGATAAAGCAATTATAGCCGGAATGCATACAATTAACCTAGGTTGCAGGCATCGTACGGTCGTCGAAATTAAAATTGCAAAACTATATATAAATAAAAACAACACATTTTCAAAATTCCACATTTCCACACATTGAGCGTCCGCTGGTGCGGTCGTCGAACTTGCCAAAAACGGTTTTATTTCATACATATATAATTTTTGAGTTAAAGTTATATTTTTTTCGTCCCGTTGCGCTCGTCAAACCTAACCAGATGGTCTCAAACGATCGTTATAACATGTGCGTGGTGAAAATGCGAATTATTGTTACAAGCGTGTTTATTGTTAACTGAAAACTACCTTTTTTCCGCCATCAACCACTGCGCTCGCCGTTCGAGTATGCGTGAGACTTCAATAGCGCTACTGACACGTCGCCATAAAAAATGAAGAACACCTAAATCGCGCTCTACATATTGATGAATCGTGGTAGTCGGGAATTACATTACATGCGTATTTTACTGATATGTTTGAGCAAATATAATCCTATTGTAGTGGTCCTATGAATTTTATTCAATGACGGCTGCTTACCGAAATCATATACGATTGTTTTTTTTTTGTTAATTTAAATTATATAATAAATATTTTTATTTGTTTAACACCGATGTGAATTTTGAATCTTAATAGTTGAAATAGTTGCTGATAAATGTCGTTTCCATCAGACGTTGTTAGACTAATTTTACTGATTTTAAATTATATATATTACATTCGATGTGGAATATAAACAGCTAACTTAAGTGTTCATCATTCAAGTGGCGCTCGACCGAATGATTATTTAGACACTTGTTCGTGGAGTGGAATGCGGCGGTCACTCTGCACCTAACGTATACCACTCTACACTATAGCTGAAACAACTAGCCATGTACTTAATGAAACGTTTTGTCCATAGTGCAATGCAACCCCCGGAAATAATATTACCTAGGTTTAACGATCACGAGTCACGAGGATAGCAAATCGCATGGCATCTAGATCGAATATATTGAAGTCGAAGGTTATAAAGTTACAATACATCAACCGTTAGAACGCGTTACGGCAATAAATTATTTTAACACACACGTCTCATCCGCCTCTTAACAAAACTTGTTATTATTATTGTTCCTTCTTAGTTTTTATGGAAACCACCTCAGAAGCTTATATTATTGAATCATCTTCACTAATTCGAGTTTAATAATTTAATATATAGATCTCTTTGCATCAATAATATACATATTATATTATATATATGTATATGTATTTATAAAGTGACGTTCATATTACAATATATTGCTACTGAAGTAGCTATCGTTTACATATATTCGATTATCAAATGGTAAGTTTACATACCATGACAATATAGACAGGTATGATCACATAAAACCTATAATATTTCAATCAGTGAATCAGCTATTGACCTCCGTGCCTTTCCTGGTTGTAGTTCTCCAAAATAATTTGTCAATTTTTTTCTATGGTTTAAATATAGGACGCAAAAAATAACCCTATATTAAATTGTTATTTTAAAATGTATTTATAAAATAAGTTCTCTGGAATCTGGTACTTTCCCAGGGGTTTACGAACAAAGAGTATTGTATATTATCAGATAATTGAGAAAAATGTATAGAAAAACGGCAGAAAAATCATGAGAAATTAATAAAAATATTATTTAATTATATCTGGATATAATGAAATGACAGTTTTATTTATCTATGAAAAGATAGGTACCACGTATTTATTTTATCTGCATAAGAATAAAAAGATAAATATTTTTATCTAGATATTGCACAACACTGATTTTGTCATGATACATACAATGTTGTCATTTACTATTTATGCAGAATAGACCTTATGCTGACAACGTATTATACGGAATGTAAACATACGCGTATAACGCCTGTCTCATCGCACGACTTCTCCCGTATAATATACAGACATCTGATCGCGATATTATGTATTCGTTGTCTAAATGCAATTTTATGATCGCTCGAGAAAACACGCCGAATACGTAATCCTTTCGCAAAAACGAATAATATAAAATATGTATTCCGTTCTCGTAATATTGTGGTTCGATTTAAGGAGAGGCCACACAGCTAGTGAATTCTTACATACAAATGTTATAATGTATGTAAACTGGTATTGAATGGTTTGATTTTGGTATCCGCGACGGGCTGGACAGCTGCAGACGAATGTGTGACTTTTTGGTCCGTTCAGTGTCGTCTCAAGTTCATTAACTACTTTTTGTTGTAGTATTAGTTTATTACTTATTATAACTAATTTATACTTATGGCTATTGATATGCGTAATATATTGCGAAGAATGTGACATAACAATATAAAAATATATCGCAGGTATTTGATGATCGATTAAAATTATAAAAAAAAAAATAATTTCTAATGTCAACGTCAATACTTTTAAATTATTTTTTAGAAGAAGATTTTTAGTTTTTATTTAACTCCATTAAAAATCCCATCAACCTTGAGTTCTTCGAAGACCCAAAATATCCATGACTTGGTTGCTTAATGCGTTTATTTCATCGCTTTGTACATACAATTTTTAAGTTTTACTAGGTAATATGTAGGGTGATTCGCCGAGCATGGTAGCTCACTCCCATTTAACTTCTTTAATAATGTATTTTTTTTAATGTTTATGTTAAATATCGACATTTTAACGAATATAACTTTTGAATTGCTAAACTTTATGATAATAGATTTAAAAAATACGGAGATATGACAAATTAAAATAATACATTTATATATTATATTAACATTTTATTATTTTCGGTGTAGTCTGCGGAAATAATGAACAAACATATTGCACTATATATTATACTGTTGTATCTTGGTATTAGTGTACTTCGTAACCTTTATTTAAAAATCAACTTAAAAAATTTAAACTACTACAATATTGGCAATATTTATCTGTCTGCATTACCCGACTTTTCAAGGGCAAAAAGTATTATCATGTTTTTAAATTGTATTTTACTGGATAGATAGATCTTAGGATGTATTTTATCGCTCAATGTTCTGTGTAGGTATATAAATAAAATTATGCTATTATTACCTGTTCCGTAATGTGCACTTTAAATTTAAAAAAAATCTTGTTTGATTCCGTTTGGTTGATTCCAAAATTATCCAGGACTTAATGACATTACAGATCTTACTGTATATATTGACGAACATTTTGTGAAAATCGGTTGACAACTGCGGATAAGCATAAGAGACATCCGTTTTATGCCATTTATTTTATATGATGTATATACCTAAATATTTATTAATTATATTTGATCCTGTATGGCGTTGCCCTTGACAAATTAAATAAAGACAGTAGATTTACCCTGTATCATCTCCATTAAATGTAAACTACACATATTTTTAATACATTCCATTTTGGTGATGGTTTTAACCAAATATATAATATACAGGTCTTGTAATGAATTTTCAACGCAGTTTGGTTTATGGTAATTATCGTGCGTTTATTTTCATACTTAATTATTTTGTACATAGATTTTATATCATTCGTGGTACAATATTTCTTTTCAATTAGTTTATACTCTTTCGAGTGTACATTAAAAATATTTATCTTGGGGATACATATAATGGGTGGGTATGTGTACATATAACTCACGGTTTTTGGACTCTCCGTCAGTGATGAGGTCAGTGCAGATGTGGATTGTGGTTGAATGTCAGCAGTGTCCTGTTGTTCAACCCTCCCCGTCTGATACAACAGACGGTAGTTGCCGGTGGTGTTGGCTTGGTTGACTCGTGCAGATAGACGGCAGCGACAACGGATCGTACGGCGGCGACAATGGCTCGGCGTTCACAATAAACAGACTGATCGGACGGCGGCGGCAACGGCTCGGCGTTCACGATAGACAGCAGCAACAACGGATCGTACGGCGGCGACAACGGCTCGGCGTTCACGATAGACAGCAGCAACAACGGATCGTACGGCGGCGACAACGGCTCGGCGTTCACGATAAACAGACTGATCGGACGGCGGCGGCAACGGCTCGGCGTTCACGATAGACGACAGCGACAACGGATCGTACGGCGGCGACAACGGCTCGGCGTTGGACAGTGCGCGGATACGGGAGTGTCGGGCAAGACTATATACACATCCGTTAATCACTAGTTGAAAAACTGGTGCGGCTTGTGCAGTCTCTTGGACCAATCGCTGTTATATGTGCAAGCTGAATAGCGTCCGTAGTCACGAGTGGTAACACTCGTGCGGCTCGCTATTGCCTTGCACTCAGCGGGGAAAAGATTGATTCTACGGTCGCTCATCGGCTTGTATTTGTGTAGTATGCGGAACACTGGTCCCGGTTACATGACTCAGTTTCCTTTTTGCTAGTGGAGTTGTTTAGGTGCTTGCTTGAACTTGTCGGTAGTAATAGTATGATGGTTGAAATGCTGACGATTCCGAATCTGGAATCAGCGATTTGATTTTTCTTTTAGTTGCTGAGAAAACTCATGTTTTCCGATGGGCGGCCAAGGCTGTTGTAATATGTGGCCGGCCAGCGCTATCTGTTGCGCCGTTTATCAGTCGCACACAGTGGATGCATACGTTTTTTGGGCGGCGGCGCTTGTTGTGCGAGGATGTAATGAAGACCACTAGAGTGCGCCACATAAATGGGCACTCCGTTTTGTCTCATTACATTGTCCCCTTTTTTATTTTCTTTTTTTTTTTGAGTTGTTGATTTTTGAAGATTTGGGAAAAGAGAGAAAAAAAATAAAATAAAAACTTAAAATTTTGACATCAGTGTAATGAATGATTGCTCTTGGTAAAATGGTTATTGTTTCTTCAGATTCTTGACTTGCTTGAGCTTTTCCTGATATATCAATTTCTTGAGTTTGGTATTCGAGATCTCACCAAAAACCTTGGTAAATTTGCTCATGGTGATAACATCTTTCTTAAACCCTTGGTATGATCCTTGATTTCTTCGGAGAACTTCTGACAATATTACTTGGATAGGATCTGGTCCAGGACTGTTTTCAGGGCTTTCAACTGAACCGATGGAACTCAATGGTGATGTGCCAATTTCGAGTATTTCCGTGTCTACTGGTTCGATCTCATCACTATCTGTGACTACAGTGTCAGGTGATGAGGGAGTGTCTTCATTCGGAGTAGTAGTAACTTGCTTAGTTTGTTCAGCTTTGACCAGGCATACAGATTCCGGAAGAGTCCACTCTGGTTCCAGCCGGTAGTGAGTCCTTTTGGCTGCTTCCTCACGGTAAAAGCTGGCAATTCTTTTCTTCTGTTCACTGGTTAGAAATCGATCAATGTGTGTCACATCTATTCTATTAACCGACTGTTTGATTTTGCTTAATGGGATTTGAATGGGAAGATTCATTTTGATATGTTTTTTTCCTACAGGGGAAAGGGGGTTAGTTGGATATATGATATAATTGTTAGTTCCACAGACATATAGGGTTAATTACACGCACATTACATATATATATATATTTTTTTTTTTTTTGTTATTATATTTTTTTTTTTTTTTTTTTTTATGGTAATTATATTGTACTCTGAATTTACTGGTTTGTATGAGACGTACCTATGCTGGGTTTGTCTGCATAATATTTTTTTATGTTTTTGAGGTTGAAAGTGCAGAATTTCCCGTTATCCTGAACTGTTACTGTGTTGTTGGGATGCACTTTTTGTATGATATACGGTCCGTGGTACAGTAAAAACAGTTTGTGTGTTTCCTTATCCTCGGCCGATGACAATCGATGCTCTTTAACCAGTATGGAGTCTCCCACGCTGTATTGTGGAAATTTCTTGTCTCTGTCTTTGTAGGCGTTTCGTAACTCAGACTTTTTCTTCGATCGCTTCATCACAACTTGTATTATTTTAGGCTCTGCTTCATTTGGATCGCCTTTAGGGAAATTTATTAGCCGCGTGATTGATAGTTTGGGTTTCTCCCCAAACATTAGGTAGTGTGGTGTGCATTCGGTGGTGGTATGAGTGGTATTATTAATCCAGTATTCGATGTTGTCCAACCACCTTAACCAGTTGGTGTGTTGCTTATGACAATATGTGCGTAAGAGTCGCCCAATTTCGCGATTTACTCTTTCTACCGGGTTGCTCTCTGGATGGTAAGTCGTCGTGTGAATATTCTTAATGTTCAGTCCACTCATCACCTGGTCCCATTTGTGGCTAGTAAATTGTGTTCCGTTGTCAGTTAATATCTTTTTGAACAGTCCCATAGTAGGGATGTAGTCCCTGATTATGCGCTTGATGATAGTGTCAGTGGTAGCTCTTTTTAATGGGTAGAGTTTTATATATTTGGAGAAAACATCAAGAAGAGCCAAAATATATCTACACCCTCCTTGTCCCCTCGGTAAGGGCCCCATGAGATCTGCCGATATCATTTCTCTTGGTTTTTCCGGGGTTAGGCTTAACGTTGGTCCCCTAGCGGTGAGGTTACTTATTTTTGCCTTTTGACATAAGTCACAAACTTTGATGATCCCTTTGATTGTCTGGTACATGTTTTTGAATTGGTGGTTCTGTTGTAACAGTTTGAATGTCTTGTATGTACCACAGTGTCCATAAATTCGATGGGTTTCCTCCACCAGAGGTCTCACTATTGCCCCAGGTACGACAATTTGATATTCTCCGGTGTTAGATTGACGAAATAGTAAGTTCTGATGTAACATGAGATTGTGGTCCGCTCGCTGGGCCATACGTCTTTTTAGTTTGTTAATATGTTCATCTCCTTTCTGCAGCTCTTCTAACTCTTTGAATTGTTCTCTGAGTTCCGGGCTGTAGTCCAGTAGTGTTAATTTATTTATTATAATTGTTTTGGTACTGATCTGAGTGTCTTCGGTTGGTGACTGTGGGTACCTCGTTAAGGTGTCAGCCCCTATGTTCTCTCTTCCCGGGATATGTTTGATTTCAAGTTGAAATTCCTGGAGAAAAGTGGCCCACCTGATCAACCGTGCGTTGAGTAGCTGACAGGTGTTCAAAAAAGTAAGTGCATGATGATCAGTTAACACTTTTACCTTGTTTCCCAACAGGTAGTTCCGGAATTTTTTACATGCGAACACTATGGCTAGTAGCTCCAACTCCGTAGTGTTGTAGTTTCTTTCTGCAGCTTTCAAAGTTCTGCTCGCAAAACCAAGTGTTTGGTGCTGTCCCTCTTCATTGATTTGGTATAGTTCCGCGCCCAGATGTGTTGTTGATGCATCTGTGTTGAGGTAAAACTCCCGGTCAAAGTCAGGAAATTGGATTATTATATCTTCAATAAATTTTTGTTTTATTCGTTCAAAAGTTTGTTGTTGTGTATCGCCCCATATCCATTTGGCATCTTTTTTGGTTAATTTGCTTAGGTACCCTGTATCTTGTGATAGGTCCCTTATGAATTTGCGATAGAAATTTATGAACCCCAAAAACGCTTGCACTTGTTTTCTTGTTTTGGGTGGTTGGAAGTTCTGGATGGTCTGAATCTTATCTGGATCCATTAATATTCCCTTTTCACTGATGATGTGCCCAAGGAACATAATTTGATTTTTTAGGAATTGTGACTTTTTTCGGTTGATCGTTATGTTATGTTGTGCCAATTTGTTGAAGATCTGTTCCAGATGATACATATGTTCAGTAAAGCTGGTGGATGTAATATGTATGTCATCAACATAAATTGCGGAAAATTGTAGGATCTCCGGTCCTAGCACTTGATCCAAAATCTTCTGGAATTCGGCGACCGAATTTATCAGTCCAAACGGTAGCACTTTGAACTGATAATTCCTACCTTTATGTAGGAACGCAGTTATTTCGCGACATTCCTTCTTAAGAGGACACTGCCAGTAACCGGCGGTTAAGTCGATTGTGCTTAGGTACTTCATTCCTTTGAACTTCATCAATATATCATCCATGTTCGCAGGACATTCCCTATCTGGTATTATGACCGTGTTAATTTTTCGTGCGTCCAGACACAGTCTAATATCTCCATTCTTTTTCTCCATACATACAATCGGTGATGACCACGGCGAAGTTGATTTTTCAATGATCTGTAAATCCAGCATCCTTTGTATTTCAGTGTCAACTCTATGAATTTTCGATACTGGTATCGAATATGGGCGCTGGTAAATCGGGTCCCCTGGTTTGGTGCGTATCTGACATTGGAACTCATTGATTTTCCCAGGCTGTTCAGAAAAAATGTGCTCATATTTTTCTAATAATGACACAAATATTTGATTCTCTTGGTTGGTCAGTGTGATCTGATTATCATCTGCATTTTCATTGATTTCTACATTCAGAAGGTGTTCCTTACCCGTTTTCGGCTCTCTGTTGGCAAATGGTATGGTGACTGGTAAATCGTTAACTTGGAACTGTACCGTTTGCTCATCGAACTTGATTTGTGCCGAATACTTATTTAATATGTCAGCACCAATGATCCCTTTCTCGTTAAGACCTTCGACTTGAATGAAGCTTGTTTGGAAATAAATGTCGCCTATTTTGCACTCACAAAATATTTGCTTGGATGCCTTACATATTTTCTTCCCCACTGCATTGCTGATTTGTATTCCAGTTACTGGTAGTTGTGGTATTCTGGAATTCTTCTGCGTAATAACATCGATTACCTCCTTGGTAAGGACGCTTATCGTAGCCCCAGTCTCTACAAGCAACATCATTTCCTCACCTTCAATATTGCACTTTAGATACGGGCTTATTGACGAGTTCGTAGCATTTATTAAATTTATTGCATGGTTCTCACTATTACTCGTGCCTGCTTGTTGATCTATACTTGTTGATACTTGATTTATTTGCTCTTTTTGTTGAGTGCTAATCGGTTTTGTATCTCCGCGTTTGTTGTTTTCGTGGTTGCGGTACGGTGGATTGTTGTTCCACCGATTGTTTCTCGGCGGCATATTGTTACAACCATTATTTCGCTGGTTGTTCCAATTATTGTTTTTCTGTTGGTTGTTGCTACTCTTGTCCGTGATTGGTGTTTCTGTTTTTTCGTTTGTATTTTCTTCTTCTCCCAGCACTTTCATGGCAGCTATTATTGTCCTCTCGGGCAATGACACAAGTATTGCTCGTAAATAACCCGGATAATGCTTGGCAATGTGTTTTACAATTTCTGGTTCCGACAGTCTTGGTACCTCCAAGTGCCGTAACTTCGTGGCCCAGGTCGCAAAATGCTCTCGGTAGTTTGCTGTTACCTGGTTTACACTTAGGCATTGGCTCCAGACTTGAATTTGTATCTCCCTGGACCAATACTCATCAATAAATGCCCTCTTGAAATCTTCATATACGCATAATTGGAACCGTACTGTGGAGAACCAACTATATGCATTTGATTTTAGACAGTCTCCTACGACAATAATTTTTTCTCCCACGTATGTTTGCTTGATGGCAAAATACTCTTCAAGTCGGTTCAGGAAGTCTCGTGGGTGCATGTCCCGTCCACTTCCATAGAACGTAGGTCGTGCAATATCTGTGTGATGTAGATTGTTGTTGTTTGTTACACACGTATGCACTGGTGGTGGTGATGGTCGTTGCTCCTGGTGTTCATATTTTTTTTCAAGTTCGTTGAACTTTCTTGACCATTTTTCTTCAATTTTTTCTATTTTATTGACGTAGTCATCTTTGAGGTTTTCAATTTTCTGTAATAGTTGATTTACCAAATATTGGCTGTTTCGTTCGACTTCTTCCTTGAACGCATTAAATACTTCTTCCGTTACTCTTGCTTTCGGTGCCATTTTAAAGATGTAGTTTTGACGTAGTTTTTCTTCTTTGTGACACGAAGTAGCTTTTCTTAATCTCGTGGTCGACGTAGAATTATCTTCTTACTCGAGCACTGCAGTTGGGCGCCAAATGTAATGAATTTTCAACGCAGTTTGGTTTATGGTAATTATCGTGCGTTTATTTTCATACTTAATTATTTTGTACATAGATTTTATATCATTCGTGGTACAATATTTCTTTTCAATTAGTTTATACTCTTTCGAGTGTACATTAAAAATATTTATCTTGGGGATACATATAATGGGTGGGTATGTGTACATATAACTCACGGTTTTTGGACTCTCCGTCAGTGATGAGGTCAGTGCAGATGTGGATTGTGGTTGAATGTCAGCAGTGTCCTGTTGTTCAACCCTCCCCGTCTGATACAACAGACGGTAGTTGCCGGTGGTGTTGGCTTGGTTGACTCGTGCAGATAGACGGCAGCGACAACGGATCGTACGGCGGCGACAATGGCTCGGCGTTCACAATAAACAGACTGATCGGACGGCGGCGGCAACGGCTCGGCGTTCACGATAGACAGCAGCAACAACGGATCGTACGGCGGCGACAACGGCTCGGCGTTCACGATAGACAGCAGCAACAACGGATCGTACGGCGGCGACAACGGCTCGGCGTTCACGATAAACAGACTGATCGGACGGCGGCGGCAACGGCTCGGCGTTCACGATAGACGACAGCGACAACGGATCGTACGGCGGCGACAACGGCTCGGCGTTGGACAGTGCGCGGATACGGGAGTGTCGGGCAAGACTATATACACATCCGTTAATCACTAGTTGAAAAACTGGTGCGGCTTGTGCAGTCTCTTGGACCAATCGCTGTTATATGTGCAAGCTGAATAGCGTCCGTAGTCACGAGTGGTAACACTCGTGCGGCTCGCTATTGCCTTGCACTCAGCGGGGAAAAGATTGATTCTACGGTCGCTCATCGGCTTGTATTTGTGTAGTATGCGGAACACTGGTCCCGGTTACATGACTCAGTTTCCTTTTTGCTAGTGGAGTTGTTTAGGTGCTTGCTTGAACTTGTCGGTAGTAATAGTATGATGGTTGAAATGCTGACGATTCCGAATCTGGAATCAGCGATTTGATTTTTCTTTTAGTTGCTGAGAAAACTCATGTTTTCCGATGGGCGGCCAAGGCTGTTGTAATATGTGGCCGGCCAGCGCTATCTGTTGCGCCGTTTATCAGTCGCACACAGTGGATGCATACGTTTTTTGGGCGGCGGCGCTTGTTGTGCGAGGATGTAATGAAGACCACTAGAGTGCGCCACATAAATGGGCACTCCGTTTTGTCTCATTACAGTCTAAAATTATATCTATTTTCTGTAACCAATGGCAACCATATACAGGAAAAAAGTATTCTTGTTTTTCGTGGGTAATCCAACAAATCCT